CATAAAGAAGTGTGAAGAACTTTGAATTTCTTGTAGCTGTGTGTTTTATGACTATATCTGGCATGTAGTTGCTTGATGGTGCTGAATAAAATAGCATAGTACTGTGTATGTTTCCCCACACTATATTCCCTTTTCCCCATTGTTCTATGTGAAAATATACTTTCAGGAGGATGCCTGGCCACATTGAAATAAATAAGTGTTTTGCCTTTGATTGGAGCCACAAGTTCACCATTAATCTGCTATGGTTTTCCTCACAGTGGTATTGGAGGTTGCAGGAGCTGAGCATTCTGGCCCTGATCCAACAAAGAACTGCTTTGTTCCCTGTGGGCACCTATAGACATGCAGTGAGGCTGCGCTGACACACTGTAATTGCTGCGCTCCAGCATCATGTGCATCAGGATCCCCGCACTGAAAAATGGTAGCAGGGGCATTTTAACTAAAGCTTGCTTAATGAGCTTGAGTTAAAGCACCCCCGCCACCATTTTTCAGCTCAGGGATGCTGATACATGTGACGTTCCAGGCACTTTAATCAGAGTGGCTCTTGGAGCTGCTCTAATTAAAGTGCTGCGCCTCTCCCTGCTCCCACTCCCAGAGCACCCTGGATGTCTGAGGAGTCCCAGCATTGTTTGGCTGTATCAGGGCCAGAGTGCTCAGATACTTGCAGAATCTAGTGTATGATGCCCAAGATTTGTGGAACCCTTGACTGATAAATAAGAAGAGAGGATCCCTGCTCCCAGGTGTTGTAGTGTAAATAATTGCAAACTGTCATTCTGCTCAGAGGTAAACTTGAGATGGACTCAAAGTGACTAGACAGCTACTGACAAAAACAAACCCATTTTGATTTTATATATTTCCCTGTTTTGCCTTTGGCCCTCAATACTCTTCATGAATCATGACTCAATAGAAAAGAGAGAGATTGACATCTGGCTACTTTTTAGTTAGCCAGAAAATATTGAAACACCATTTATCAGGATCTGATTCATCCTTTTAAATTTAACACACTGCCAAATACGGGAAAAAATTATAGAATTGGATTTTGTTGTCCAGTCCCTTGGTTTCTCTGTGCTGGCATACAGATGTTCCCAGAATTTCACTGTAGTAATAATTTTGTTTTTAAAAAATGTAACAACTGAATGTAAACTTTAAAAAAACCAAAAAACAACCCTGGGTTTGTTTGTTTTTGTTGGCTTGGTGTGTGTTTTGTTTGTTTGTTTTTTAAATCTTGAGTATTTAATGCTGTTAAGCTTTATATGTATTTTTTTAACTGCAGAATTATTTTAAAATATCTGAAAAATTGTACTTGAAGAATGTAATCAGAAAACTTGCCTAAAGTTGCAAGAGAATAAGTTTTAATGGTTTCAAACTAGTCCCTAGAAAATATCCATATTATAAAATCCAACTCTTTTGCACTTGCATTTATTTATGAAACAAGACATTTTTTTTGTCTAGCCATTACAAATTCCATTGAAGAATCTGCCTGTTTAGTTTCTTCTATGTTTACCTCAATACACTGGCATTATGCTAATGGAAGAAGAATAATGAAGGTATAATAATACACAATTCTGTCTTCAAGAAATTAAGAATAGAGTTCCATTAATCAGAACAGAATTTGAAATCTGCCACAGACTTTTTTTTTCCATAAAAGATTCTTGGTTAATTTATAGTACAACAGAAATGAAGGAAGAGATGAATATAAAAATTATTGTACACAGTATAAACCAGAAAGCCAATGCTATTTGTTAAAAGAATGATTTGCAAACAATTAATATAAGCATGATGCATATGTGATAATTTATGGCTCTCATTGAGGATATGAGTTAAAAAAAATAATATTGAACCATTTAGTGCTTTGCACATTGAAAGCCCTTTATAAACATCACACATCATGCGGTTGTTAGGCAGGTATCTTTATTTTAAGGATGGAGAAATGGAGATCTAGCTTAAAGGATTTGTAAAGCATAGACAAGCCTAGCATCCCAAGTCTTTAGGAACTCCTATCTAGTAACTTCTTTAATCATGAGACCTGTCCTGCCTTTCAGCCTTGTGACAAGATGTTATGAACTTACTGTGACTGTGTAGATATTAGTCTGGGTATGAAACCCATTACTGCCACCCCAATCTGATGTCCACAACAGCTTGCCAGAACTCCCAAAGTGGTAGATTTAATAGACCGGTCTAGGGGGTGCCAGACAGGTAGAGTTTCCATGGGCAGGCTGCACTTGACTGTGCAGAAGGGATGGGGGAGTGGTGTCTGGGAGCAGGAAGGACAGGCCGGGGCGGGATCGTGGATCAGTGACAGCATGGGGCTGTGACCCAGGGCAGAGACATGATCTGCTCCCCACATGGCCCTGCACTAGGGGTGTGATGGGCACAAGGCAGATGGGTTAGGTGCCTGGGCAGTGGGGCCACATCTGGGGCTTGCAGTGACACTGGCAGCAGCAGCCAGAAAGAGCCACTGCCACCAGGGGTGCTAGGAAGCTGAGGCTGGCTTCTGTGCCACACCAGCCCTGCAGTGGGACCTTCTGCACGTGCCACAGCCTGGGCTGCCCCTCATGATTAGGCCAGGCAGGACCAAGGGACCAGTTGTGGGCTGAATAAAATCCCTTGGCAGGCTGGATCTGGCCTGTGGGCCTTAATTTACCCACTCCTCAACTAGACTCTGTACCAGTAAGTATTGGACATCCCCAAGCTAGATGCTTGCTTTTCAAACAACAATGTCTGTAAGAGCTAAGTGTGTAACTCATAATGATTTTTAAGGTTATGTATAACATAATCTTCAGAGCAGCCTGGGCTGCAAGCTGGGAGTTACCTGCTGGTCCACAAATGTGAGAAAAGTTGTCTTGTGCTAGCCTTTGAACTGCTTCTCTATGGATTCAGATCTTTCCTCATCCTTCTGTTACATTTTACATCTCTTCTGATGGGCAGAGGGCAGTGACACAAATCTCTTGTCAATTTAACTATGAATATGAAATCAAAGATGGAAAAAGTAAACGCAGCCTGAACTGTATTTAGAAAAGGCCTTTTGCTCCCTCTACAGAAGGTGGTTGAAAACTGCAATACAAACCATTACAAAATTCAGTTCTATAAACCTTCTGTCTTTTAATAGATATCTGTCTTGCATAACTGTATGTTCACAAAAGAAATTGAATTTCTGTCCTTCACAAGCTTGTTTTTTGAAGCCAAAAATTTGTTATTGGGTTTAGGAAAGAGAAATTACAAGAATATAGAGAGCTCCAGACTTTGAATATATTCAAACAAAAGCAGTGCATGCATAATTCCAGTTCAGCAGTCCTTTCCTTCCTTTCGGATATTTTACAGATTTGTGATCTGCTAGCAACTCTAGTGACCACCTTTGCTCCTTTTTTTAATGGAGTTCTATAATCTTGTGACACCATGTGGTATACATTCTTTTTTATCCTTCAAGTTGTATGTTTCAGTACTTTTGTTTCTTGTAAAAATAAGATGTATATGGCCTCATAGTAAATTCAGTTCTCTTCTTTTCCCATAATATAAAAAACAAAATAACCAGTCAAATCAGGGAAACAAAAATGATGCCATCTCCCTTTTTAGGTTCAGGTCTCTCCGTAACCCGTAACTCTCCTCAAAAGTCCTATTTAAGCAGATTTCCCTTGAAGTATAGTATGTAGGTCAAAAGCTTTGGGTAGATTCAAACCACATGGTTATACAGAAGCATCAAAGTTATGAACAATATATTACACTTATTTAACATAAATTTAACTGTACACTCTTTTTGCTTAAAACACTAACTCTGATTCACTGCATGACATTTCAGAACTTGGCATCCAACTTTTAAATCTCTGTTGTTAGTCAGTTAATTTAAGAATCCAACTTTTGTCTATGAAGTTGGACACCTGAAATGTATTAGGTTCTTGATTTGAATGTCACTGTTCCTGTGCAAGAGGTTTTGTGAGTTTCTTGTTCATTGTAATCATTCTAAACATAGGTTTACATTAAAGGGGGACAAAAAGTTGTGTTCTACAGGATCAGTGCTTCCTTGGGACAAAATTTAATATCCGTCTTATTTGCAATGATTTTTCTCTCTTAACAGTGTCACTTTTCACTGAAATTTGCTAATAGGCTTATATATTTTGTATAAAAATTATTCTTATTTGATTGTATGATTTAGGGAGGAGGGATTCTTTCTAAAGGGAAACTTCATAGTTCCCAAAGCCAACTACAAGAAAAATGGAAGTAAAGTATATTGAAAGAAGCAAATCTCTTTCCTAGGCAGTGGTTGCTCTTGCAACTTCAACTGTTGCTTTATCTGGTTTGTTCATCTCCGTTTTGGGAAGAGATTTGTTGGAAGTACCTACCATTTCTTCTCAATCCTCTTTGTTGGTACACACAGTGACTGTATTGATCTGGAATTTGCAGACAGCAAGTAGTGTATGCTCCCAGAAAGGACTTGCTTCTAATTCTGTATCTACATACGTTATTTACATAGAGGTTACCTCTCTTCAGGGGTTGCACCATGTCCTGGTAATAATCTCAACAGTTGCCTAAGAAAAAAATGACAGTTCAAGATGTAAATCAAAGAAAATAACCCAAGACAAGTACATAAAGGTGGCAATGCTAGATATCGCTGGTTTCCTAGTGAGCCTTAGCTTTCAAACACATCGCTATCCTATTGTAAACTTTATGAAGGGTTTTTGGAAAATACAAAGAGATTAAGCTTCTTAGATATGTTTATATACTCAATCTGTTCAGTTCTTTGTCTTTTACTCTGATAACTTTTAACCACCAGAAACCTATTTTAACTGTCCACTGCTCTTATACATCCTTGCTAATGGATGACAAGAGAGGACACTAATTTCATAGTTTTATTAAGCTTGACTGGAAAGTCTTCTTTCACCTTCAAAGTGGAAAATGCATACTGAGGATATTTATAGGAAACTGTTGTCTTGTTTCATATTTGATTGAACATGATTCTATAATTGTTAAACTCTTGCTAGATTTGTTCTTTCTCTCTCTTTCTCTAGGTGCCCCATTTCTATATCAAATTCCCTCTCTGAGAAATCAAGGGAACATGTAGCTGATGATGACGAGTACAAGATTCCTTCATCCCATCCTGTAACCTTGTCACAACCACCTCATTGTCATAATATAAAGCCTCTTGCTCGGTAAGGTCTTGTGCATATTTGCTGTTCATATGCTATTTTGGAGAGTAGAGGATACTTATTTGAAAGGGGAATTCCCCCCACATTGATGTAAACTTTTTAGTAATCATGGTTAAGCTGCTTGCCGTCTAAGAATGTTGAGTATTTCCATGATCTCTTCTGCTGAACTTGAGGCAGAATGAAACTCATAAAGTTATCTGCAGGTCACCATATTTGTACCTGTGTGGTGCATAACTTATTAGCCTTAGTATGTTGCCACTGCATTCAGTGCTTTTTTTCCTTTTAATTTGAGATTTTCAGAGCTGTCTCAAGTATTTAGCCATATAGTTATTACTAATTTCGGGGAACGCTTAAACTCCCAGGGCAAGACCCCATGTTCAGGGGCGTGCACTTGTAGAGGTACAAATAGTAGCAGCACAAATTTGTGCCACTGCTTTGTGCCCCATTGCATACCTCTACACATGTACTTTGTTGCACAGCATTCAGCAGGGGCCAGCAGCCAGAGTGGTGTTCTGGGTGGCCAGCCCTCCATTTGGTCCAGCACATGCTACCAATACTGCTCTGTGCTGGTTTCTTTTGGTACTGGGATTTCTTGGTAGCAAATTTTGCTATGAGCATGTTTTTACATTTCTCGCGTGCAGTTTGTGGCACCACAAAGCGATTTGCAGCACCAGAAACTGCATCCCCCTGGACATGGAAACCCGCCCCCAGAGTCGGGTTTAAAAATTTCAGCTTTTGACATTTTGATTAATCCTTTCTCAGAAGAAATAAAAGGTAGAAAAACAACCAAATCATTGGACAGTGACTATAAAAATAAAACTGCAGTTATGAACATTTTTCTTCTTTCCTTGTCTTGCATGTAACAACTGGTTTAAGCCTTTAAAGCCCTTTTTGCATGGGCTTTCATATGAGACTTTCTTTGTGCACCAAACTCTTCTGCTGTCCAAAAATACATCAAGATACTGGCAATTGTAGGGACTTTTTGCCTTTTCTTTCAAAATGTTATGTCAGTCACCAAGAACAATAAAACCAAGCTTATCCCCTCATCTCACAATTAGGAAATTTTTACACGTTTAATCAAAGTATGTTAGCATAGCCTAGGTCAAATGGCACATTCTCGCTGCTCCTTGTGTCCAAGTTATTAAATTCCTGGACGTTGAGGCTGTTATTAACAGAAATGCTGACCCAAACTTTGGTGCACAGATGTGAATGTTACAGTTCCCTAAACATTTTGTCACTGTGGCCTTTTATGTTCCAGCTGGTTCTGGAGGAAGGGTTTTTATTTTATTTTATTTTTTCAAATAGAAAGTACAGAATTCACTGTGTAGAAAAGAGGTTTTTAAATGGCTTTGGGATTTTACATGTATGACCACATTTATTTGAAGTTTTGTTTTGTTTATCCATTTGGGAGTCCCTCTCTCTACCATGTCAGGCATGTAATAGAAAGCTGAGTTCTCTGCCTGAGAGGAGGAAGAATTAATGGCTCATGAAAACACAGCAAAAGCTATAAGAGTGTATGGTATGGGAACAGACTCCAGTGATTCTGTAGCTATTGAGGACTCGTATTGGGCAGCAAAAGCCCCTATGAAGAATTTTAGGAGTTTTTTTATTATTTCCGAGAATATAATCTGGGACCTCAGACCTGCCACCTAGTAATGTTATCCATTAAAAGCCAACTCCAAACTTTCTTGTTTTCAGCATTTGTTTCTTAGTCTTATTGAACCATGGTAGAGATCACACAAATGTAGTTGCCTACCATTGCTGCTCTGGCATTAATCCAGCATTTTTCCCACAGAAAATGTTTTATATTTAAAACTAGGATTTCATTAATGATTAATGCAGTAAGCCTTGTACACACTATATACTGTGACAATATTAGTACTAAAAAAAGAAAACCACTAAGCTTTAGAAAGTATAGTGATGAAGCATATACATAAATATTCCAAGTACTCAAAACTTTGTTTCAAGAAGTTGTTGATGCTGATATTTGACTAGTCAAAAGAGCACATTTCATTAAGCAACTCTATTCCAACCAGTGATCTAGATGTAAGAGTTGGAACCAAGTGAAACTTTTTGTTCAAAATACTTCTGTCATAAATGGATTCTATTGATCAAATGAAAAAAAAATCATAGTAAATCACTTTCCCTCTAAATCTTTGGGTTTTAACTGAAAACAAAAAAATAAATTTTTTTAGTGGCCTGAAAAAAATTATTTTTTCAATTAAAATTTAAAAAGGGAATTTTTTTAATGAAAACTAATTAATTTTTTGCAACGCAGCTTGTTTCCTGTTTTCCAGCAGTACATTTAGGGCTTTTTTCTATGTATGTACATTTATACCATTTAAAACTTTTATAATTGCATGTGCTGAAAGAGTGCATTACTTTGCAGGAAGCCTTACTGAGTCATCTTCAAATAGATCGCCAATGTTTGGTGCAGAAAGGGGACATCTGTTGTCCTTGCCAGTTTGAAACTGAATTCACGATTTCACTCTGCTTGAATACCATGCCTCTGCTTCTCAACAGAAAACTTAATTTCCATACATAAGGAACCAAATTCATTCCAGTTGTAAATCCATTAAAATCCTGGATCTAATCTCATGACCATTTTATTTTATTTTATTGTATTTATTTTTTAAAGCGGGGGGGGCTAAATCTCCTATTGTCAGTGCTGTTTGATTAAGCAATCGTTCATTTCCCATGTCCTGTCTTTAAACCATATATTTACTTGAAGATTTCATGTTCTTGGACTAATGGAACCCAACCCAGGCATTTTAACACTTGAAGTAATGCTTTAACAATATATGAAATGGCTTGTTGAAACTTTTTTGGGGCAGATGATTAGTTACTTGGTTGATTTGTTGCTTTGTGTGAAAGCATCTTGTATGCAGCTGATTGAATTTTTGAAAATGCAGAGAGCTGGAAAAGTTTAGGCTACGTAATGCATCTGCTAAAAGAGTCAAAGCCTGTTCCAACATTTTAAACTTTACCAATCTAGCTTCAAAGAATGCAAGCAATGCTCCTTCCACTTACTCTCACAATCTAATAGGTTTCAACATGAGGAGGATTTTTGTTTGTTCCCGCACTCCAGCTACTATAACTATTTCTTATTTTCCTCTCATTTTTAGTTGTGCCTACTAATACCGCACACAACATTCCACTTCATTCCTATTTGAAATAGTTGCAGACATTTGTGTATCCATCCATCTATATGACCAGTGTGGTTAGATGTTTGCCCTATGGGTTGAAACCCTAAATCTGTCCAACACTAGCAGCTTCCTCTATGATTAGAGGCAGTGCCACATGTAATCCAGCATAGTTGGAACTGTACACTGACACACCCACCATGCTTCCTCTGACTGAAGAAACTCATCTTGATTGTTCTTAATTATACATGGCCCATGGTTCCTGTCATGGTGTGAAGTGTCAGTATTACCCAATTGGTCTTTAACACCTGTTCATATGATTCTGGTTTCTTATTAATGTCCCTCAGTCTTTAATCAGAGTCCTCTCATATCATCTACTCAGAATTATTTCAGTTCTTATGGCAAGATTTTCACTTCTCCTTCACTGCCTGAAACGCTGGAATTGCTGGTTCTGAGTAGTTTTAACTGCCAATTTGATACTTCTGCTTCTTTTTACAGAACAGTTTATTTCCATTTGAAGGAATAAAATTGTAGTAAAAGAATATAGAAGGAAAAGTACTGCACTGCTTTTATTGACAACAGCAGAACCAGCTGAGACTACTAAATTGCTTAGCCAGAATTAGCTCGTTCTGTTCTATATAAATTTGAGTAGGAATTTTGCTGCACTTTATTTATGTAGTCTTATTCCTGTTTAAGGTGCTCAGGTTTTTTTCTTAGTAGGCTTCACTGCATTTGATTTCAGTAATCCTTTGGTTCTTCGTTTCTCTTGGTCACATTTTCTCCCAAGCTTTTAATAGTAGGAAAAACAAAATAAGAATGAGGGGGACAAAAGTAACTTTGGAAATGCTTCGAAATGCAGTGAGCTTGGAAATGTTTTAAAAGGGTATTTTTTACACTACATGGCACACATACAGTCCCTGTGGTGCCCCCCAGTTTTAAAGTTTCAAAATTGCTGTGGGTGCATGCAGGCTTGGCTCTCCAGCTAGAGGAGGCTCTGCCACAGGGAAGGCAGATATGAGAGCACTGCAGTGAAGAGGTAAGTAGGGGAGAGGAGCTCCTTGCCACCGGGAGCCCAAGTCTCCAGCCTCAAATCCCAATCTAGCATTAGGATTGGAAAGCCCAGCAGCAGTAGGGTTTAAACTGGGAGGGAGCAGGGGTTCTCAGCTCATCAGCAGAGAAACAGAAGTGCAGATGGCTTCCCTGTGCACAATTGATAACAAGTGAAACGATTCAAAACAGTACCTTATTTTAAAGAGTTATTATTTTGGAGTGCAGCAGCTACTACTGGAATGTTTGGAACATCTGTACAGCTGGCCCTTTTGAATCATTTCAAAGGCATTTAACTATTTTTTTATGGTTACATCTGTCTGCACCCTGAGCTTACATACATACCTTTGCTGTAGGAAGAAGCAGCTTATTCTAATAGATTGAGTTTGAGGGCTGTGAACTCTTACAGTTTAGCTCTTCCACTGCCTTGCATGGCAACCTCGAGTGAGATTTGATTATTTTTTTTCGGTTTCCCTCAGTTTCCTCATTAGGAAAATAATACATTTCCTGAAAGGGGTGTTGTGGTTGCAAGCATTAATTGGTTGCTTTGAAAGTGTGTTGGGGGAGGGAAAGGGGGAAGCCTCCATCTATGCGAGTCTGACGTTTCTGATAATTTCCTTTCCTCAGTTTGTTTAGCTGTAACATATACTGTTCTTTCTCATTCATTTTTTTTTTTTAATTTTAGGAGTCATCAGTTGACTTGTTCCTTTTGATCTGTTTTCAGGGTGTGTGAAAACGGTCCATGCATTGGTATAATGAATGGAACACACAGTGCCGCTTCTGAGATGAAGAAATCAAAGCACCCAGAGCTAGGTATATTTTTCACTATTTTATTTTTTACTCTGTATTTTTATGTTTAATTCTGTAAAAAGAAAATTTCTCCAAAACAGGTATAGCAGGAAGGCATTTACTTCCTGTACTTATGTTATTCAGGAGAAGTCTTTGATGCGTCTGGTGTTCCAGTACCTCTGCCTCCTGCACGACCGCCTGCCAGAGACAACCCAAAACACAGCGCTTTGCTCAACAGGACGCCCTCTGATTACGATCTTCTGGTGCCACCTTTAGGTTGTCAACCTTTGCCCATTAAATATTTAATGGTTCATATAGTGTAGATTAACCAAGTAATACGCTTATTGCAAAAATGACTTCAGGTTTATTAAGAATTTCAAATGAACTATGGGTTAGACAGAATAATTGTACTTGCATAGATCTTCTTTAATCACTGCTCTACAGCCAGTGTCATTATCCAGTCCAGGATAATTGCAGCTTTTTTACTTTTAGTCAGTTAACTTCAAATTCCTTGTTAGTGGTTGAAGGCCAGTGATGTGGAAGGTGCTGATTTTGCTTCTTGGGATATGTGGAAAATGCAGCATAGCTGTATAAGTTTAGCAGCAATTTACCTGTAAGTCCTTGAGCCAGAAACAGTTGTAAGGGCATATTACATTTTCCTTCTGCTTATATATAGAAGCAAAACCATTTTCACCATAATGACAATGGGTCAGATTCCAAGGGATCCAAATTCTGTTTCAGATATTGTGGGTCCCTTCCCCTCTCCCCACCACACATACATTTTATAATGCATTTAATTTTATTTCACCATGTGAAGGGGATCAGTATTGATGTTAACAGGGACTGATCTAGTCTCTCTGATCCCCATAAACACCAAACTTGATCCCTAATTCCACCTTCCAGAGGGAGTTCTAGTATTCCAGTACCACAGACAGTAACCAAGCTGCTCCTTACCCATGCTGGGGTTTATACTTGTGCTCTGGCACCCTCCATAACGTACTGAGGCAAGCTCAGTTGTGCAAGTGCTAAGTCCTGCTACCCTTCTGCTTTTCTTGTTCCTTAGAGTCTTTGAATTAGCCATGCTGCTGCACCATGCACTGTGAGACCCCAGTGTGTACAGTGCAGAAACATGTGGAACTGCAAGAAAAGGTAGCATGGATAGGAGTCATGCTTTTTGGCAAACCTTGAACACCTGCAGACAACAGTTCTCACATAGGGCAAAAGCAAGGTTTCCCATGAATCCAAGGACTACGGTTTCTTGGCTCTTGGGCTTGAACCACTGATCTCCGGTTTTGTCTTAAATTATTTCCTGGTAAGATGACAGAAGATGAATACAATTTACAACAGACCTGCTGCATTCAGCATATTATTTGTCACTTTGGTGTGTAACAGTCGTCTAACAACTGATTTTTGAGTGAATCCTTTCTTTAGGATGCACTATATGCAGCTTGGCCACAAATGCCCTGATTATTTTACAACTTGAGGAGAAACCATTTTTTTTCCTCCAGTAGAAAAAACCTGAATGCAGTAAAAAGGTCATTCCCAGCATGTTTTAAACGTTTTGGGTTGTGCACAGAAGGAATCAGAAGTGCAATTACATTATTAGAGTTACTGAACTGCTAGATGATCCCTACGAGTGAGGTCCTCTATTAGTTGCCAAGGAAAATCAATTTTAAGCTTGCTTTTCATTGTACTATTCTTAATGAAGTTTTGCTCATGTAACGAGTCTTCTCTAAACGCAGGCGAAGATGCATATGACACCTCGCCACCCTCACTTCCTCCACCACCACCTCCTGCTCGTCATAGCATCGTTGAGCTTACAAAACCTGGTGGCTCAGGAAGCCGACCTCCTTCAGGACATGAACTGTTCCTTCCTCCTTCAGGTAAGAGTACCAAAACAAACCATGTTCATTTATTTTCATTTACAGCAAAAGGTTGCCTGTGCTGATAATATTGTCATTGAAACTGCATGGCAAAATATATATGCCTACAGCTAACGTCTAAAAACTGGAGAGATGAGTTTTTTAAAATGAATGAAGCAATTAAACAACCTAGAAAGAATATAAAATCTCCACTTTCCATGTTCACAAAGTATTGAGAGAAAATCAGTATTTTTATAGGCGTGACATTTTGGTAAATAGCATTTTTCTAACAAGAGCAGTTCCTTTGAAGTGCCAAGTTTCCATTGAGCTCTGTGATGCCAATGTCTATCATTTGTCATATATACCCAGCAGTATTGGGTTTTTATAGAACGATGTAATGTGTGCATTTTGTCTTATTTGTAAGTGGGACCTGGGGAGAACTCTAGCACATAAGAGAAATGGACAGCATATATTTGCTAGAACTGCCACTATGCAAAGGTTCATATATGGACTAAACTAAAACAAGATTGTCATCTTGCTAATAATGAAATTTACTCCCCGAAATGATTGCCAACCTTATTTCATTCTGCTTTCAACTTGTATGTACCATTGAAAGTTCACTGCTGTGATTGATTTGATATTTCTTCCTGGTAAGGTACAATTTTTGGTTGTCTGTGCTAATTAATTTGGCTCTGCTTGCTGCTTTTGGTGTAGAATGCCCCAGACCTTCCTGAAGGTACGGAAACATGGTACAGTTAATGAATTGTTCTGCTTTTACTCTTTGAAAGATACAGGAGGGTATTTTTGGTCAATTGTGTCCATGACCAAAGGATTCTCTCATACAATGCTATATGGGGTCATTGCTCCCCCTTTAGCATGCCTGGGAAGCTGTTGGAAGAGATGGTGAGGAATTTGGGTTGTGGTGTAATCAAGACACAAATGAGAGGCTGCTCTGCTTTGTTTATAGCACCCAGCCAACCTGTATTTTCTTTGCTTTCCCAGTAGACATGTGATTTAGATGTTTAGATGAAAGCAGGGTAACTGAAGCACCAGGGCAGTTAACAGGAATGCTCCTGGGTTGCTCCTAGTAGATGGTTTGTTTCCACAGCATAGGGATTTGGGGTTTAGCAGAGGACAAATTGAGGGGTGCTCTAGGATCCCAGAATTTCAAGGTGGGTGTGCAACTACGAGCAATATCATTGTTATCACAACAGCACAATCTTAGGTCTGACTCTAAGTAAGTTTCTTTACAGAGATCTCAAATTATGAACAAAGCACAAAACTTCCAAAAGTAAAACATAGAAATGTTATATATCTATGTTAATAATGCATGTTGATGTGCTCCAACTGCAGTTCCATATAAAAGCATAATTTTTATCAGAAATCAACCATCTTTTATACCAGGAGTTTTCAATCCTTTTAGGTCAGTGTACCCCCAGCAGCTGGTTGAGAAAGGAGTCCCCTGGCAGCCACTTAAAAAACAGGGGGTGGGGAGGTGGTGTTCCTCGTGGCTGATTGGCGACCAGTGAAAGCACCGGCAGTGCCTGCTGCTAAGTACCCCCTGAGGCCATCCCAAGTACCTCCAGGGGTATGTGTACCCCCGGTTGAAAACCCCTGTTATATACTTTTTCCTATTAAACTACCGTATGAACACAACTTTATTCTCCAGGAACATCAGTGATGTAAGTGAAGAACAATTCTACTAGAGATGCACTGATATATTGCTCACATATTGGATCAGCACTGATACAAGGAAAATTGACATTATTGGCAATCGGCTTTTTTTTTAGCTGGTATAGCTGATAATGTCACTGATAAATGCTGTGTGTATGCGCCCAGCTGCAGCATGTACATGGCTAGGAATGCAGCCTGACAGCTTGGAGAGCAGTGTCTTGCTGGTAAGTCTGTGGGGGGAAGGTGTGTGGGGGGGGGATGCAGATCAAGGCCCCCAGGGTGAGGGAGCAGCTGGGACAAGGGCAGGCATTGTCCAGCCAGGTAGCTGAATGTGACCCCAGGGCGAGGTGTAGGGTGGAGCCACAGGCAGCTTGTCCAGGGAGCGCGGGGAGGGGCAGGAAGCGGGGGGCTAGCTCCCTACCGCTGTATGCAACCCCAGGAAAGGCATAGGGGACATGTGCCTCCCCCAGATATTTGTGCATGGAGTAAGGGCGGGCTGCAGGCTCAGGGCTAGGGGCTGTGCCAGCCTCTTCCTGGCAGGGGTCTGTCTGGGCTGGGGCTGCACTCAGGGCAGAGCAGGTGGTGGCAGCACTCAGAGAGGTTGGCTTTAGCCACTCCAAAATTTCCCTGTAGACCGCCCCCTCCCAGCGCTGGTGTCGCCCACCCTGCCTGCCCCAAGCGCAGCCCCAGTCCAGCCCCCTGCCAGGAAGAGGATGGTGTAGCCACTGGTCCCAAGCCAACAACAGGCAGCCTTCTCTTGACCTGTGCACAAATCTTGGGGGGTGGGGCACATGTCCCTCATGCCTCCCCCAGGGGTGTATACAGTGGCAGGGAGCTGCCCACCCTCCCCCCTACACCCCTCGACAAGCCACCTGTGGCTCTACCCTGCACCCTGCCCTGGTGTCCCATTCAGTGCCCTGGCTGTGCAGCGCCTATGCCTGCCCCAGTTCCTCCCTCACTGTGGGGGGCCTCAATCTGCTTCCCCATGCCCCCCCAAACTTATCGGCAGGATGCTGGGCTGCATTTCTGTAAATTGGCTATCAGATCCATATTGGCCTATATGGCTGATTTAATATTCAGCCATAGGTATCAGCCAAGAAAATCTTTATGGTATATCTCTAAATTCTACCACCTGTTGATACATCTGTTATTATTTGATGATCTAATTTACCTATAACACTTAATAATTCAGTTCCAAAGACAAGGTAATAAAATATCTCTTTAAATATCCACAATATTATTAAAAATGCTTAGATCAGAGTTGAAATGGTTATGTTGTGATGAAACATGAATTAGCATTATTCTTGCTAACCAATCATATTCTGTCCAAAAAATAAAATATATCATATCCTTAACTATTTATTTCCTTCCATTTTCAAGGGTTTTACGTTTTGTAACAGTCCTTTTCTGTAAAGACATTGTTCATTCTTAGCAATCTGTATGAGTTTGGAGTAAAATTTTGCTATGAACTCTGGTATTCATGTCTGATACTCGGATCAAGTAGTGCGCAAGCCTTCAGCCTTTTCAACAAATGTGATATATATATATATAACAAATATTTATAACAAGTATAGAAATGTACGGCCACACATTTGCATGGCCTAAGGATTTTAGGGTGCTGAGCTCCTGTCAGCTTATGTCCTATTCTGTTTCAGTTTAGGTACCTAAATATTGAATACTATTAGTTGCATATTTTGAAAATTTTGGGCTTGAGTATTTATTTATCCTTTGATGGTGTCTAGTAGCCTCCATTGTGGATCAAGATTTCATTGGACTGATTAATGTACAACCATGAAATAAAGACGGTCCCTGCCCCCAGATTGCTTATACAATAGAAGCTGCATATTTCTCTCATTGCTAGGTTCTGAGAATGAGGGTTTGCAAAGTAGCTGGGGGCATATGCAATGATAGCAAACAGCTCTGCAAGACTGCTAATGAGCTCTTGCTGAATTGGGAAGCAGCTGCCTTTGAAACAAAAGCTGAAGAAAGCAGCCAAGTAGTTTGTCCTTAATTCAGCAACCTGTTGCAAATTCAGTCAGTTGTGAACCACCTCAATACAAATAATCTGGGTACTACTGTCCTTTTCACTGTTGCTGCAGTGGTCAGTCAGCCATGAGCATTTGCATAGTCTGGTGTTTCAGTATTTAGTATCGGTTGTAAGATCTGTGGCTTTAAGGCTGTGACTCAAGTAGAGTAGTATTTTCAGTACCTCCAGCACATTTATGGGTAGCATGACTGCTACCCATAAATGCTTGTTTTCTGTTTGTGTAAATGCTATTTTCCCTTTGCGTAGCCAAAAAGCATGTATTTGATACAAGTCCCAATTATACTGCAATCTGAATAGAAAATCATAAAGTTGATTCATCAATTATTCAATCATGTAGGCTACTGACCGATGTGGAAACCCCCCCCCTCCAAACCCAGCACTTTAACGGAAGAGGAAGCACATCAGTTGACCTGGTTCCTTAGTGTCTCTCTAGATTGAGCACTTCTGTCGGGCTTTTTTGGAGCTTTTATATAAAGCTGTTCAATCAGCTATTAGATAAAAGCCCAAAAATGCTTGCTGAAGTATGTGATATATA